ATAAGGCCAACACAGCATTCCCATCAAGTCTGGTGGCCGCATTGGGCAGTTCAATTAGTGCCTGCTGTACGGGCTAGCTGGTCAGAGCCAGTGCACCGCCCAGACAGAACAAACACGCAGCCAACGACTAACTACACAGGTCCCCCCACAAGGGGCTGGGTAGCCACAGCCCTGGGCCAGTAGCTCTGACACCAACAGCCTGTCAGCACACACCAGCCACTCTCTGGTCACTCCTTTTGGGGTGACCCCAGCACACTCCCGCTCCTGTTCGTTCCCGTGTGTTCTGTGCTGCACAGCTGTCTCCTGGACAGTCCAGAGTTATCAGGTCTGTTGCCCCTCTCAGGGGACCAACATACAACAAACAGTCTGATGCCTTAAACGGAGTCACCCAAACAATTCACAATTTGTTTGAAGAATAAAACACGTTTATTTCACGACAAAGAGCGCGGTTGGAATTGCCTGAAGGTAGAAGGCCTTGAAGGCCAAACTGGTTAGGAGAGAAATGACGATAAAACACTTCGTCCCTCACCACACATTTCTAGCATGTGGCTGACCAAACCCTCAGGCCAGGATCTGCTTCCAACGGCGGTTACTTTTGTCTTAGGTGAAAAGAGCGAGAGAGGGCTGGAAAGAACGAACGCGGGGTGTCTTTGCCCCTCACTTTGATAGTCCAGTCCCCCTTTGAAATGCATTTGCCTGATGGTTACCCCTAGATAAAGTTCATTCCCGCTGTGAGGTTGGAGTCAAGGAGTTTCATAGTGAAAGATGTTCTGTACTCTTGTTTGCAAAGCCAAAGAATGGCCACTCAGTGGGTGATGGCCCATCAGCTTTGATGACACCTGGCTAGAGACATCAGCTTTGTCCTTGAGAAACAGGTTGAGCTCCTCCCCAGATGTGTCTGGTAAACACACTTCAGCCAGGATTTCAGCCGATGTTCATAACTTTCCAGTGATGTTGCTACCCACATTTCACGGTGGTATTACTGACCACCAAGTTATTCGCTTTCAAATGATGCCTCAAAAGGCAGATTTTGTACAAAGATTATTACAATGGGGTGGAGGGTGTGAATGCAGGGGTGCATTCTGTCACAGGCACCCAGACATGAATTGCAACTGGCTTGCCCTGCTCCAGCGTACCCCAATTCGTTCGTGTCACAAACCGTATCTGAGCAGTGTCGGGCGCGATGCCAGGGACAGCTCCTGGTGTTCTGGTGATTAATATCATCCCAAGTGGCAGGCGCGTGCAGCCGCTGCAGAGTTATAGCCATAAATCGCCAGGAAAATCTTCAGCTGTGTGCGTCAGCTGATCAGGACTGACCCTGCCTGAGGAACGGGAAGGGGTTTCGCCACCCGGGAGTGACTGCCCATGAACCTGGAAAAACAACGAGAATGGATTTCTGTATCATGGCAACAGACCCCTTGAGCTAACAAGGGGGGAGGCAAAAACCTCTCAGGACCAGAGCGGAGGAGGAGATGGATGGTCAGATGTCTAATGTATTCAGCTTCACCCGCATTGTAGCAGCCACAAATCCAGCATCCTTGGAGACAGACCCCACCTTGCCTGGGCTCTGAGCTGGGAATAGGCTTGTCTCTGGAGGTCTCCTTCAGACAAATCCCTATCAAAGACTCGATGCCTTAGAAAAGATAGAGCCAAGAAACCCCAGGGGATCACCTAAGACAACTAAAGTACCAGCTCTTTGACTTTGGGGGACCGATCCTGGCCCAGGGGTACAAGGTCACCCATCTGGGTGAGGATTTTCCCTTGACCCAAGTCCAGCTTGTGAACTTGGAGTGACTAGACAGCGTTTTCTCTCTGCTATTCTTGCAACCGTTTCTGACTCGAATCCTTGCACTTGTACTCACCTGCAATCTCCCTCTTTGCAGTTAAGCGGTGTTGTATTTTCAATCTAGCTCAGCCCAGTGCTGCGAATTGTTGGGTGACTCCAGTGACACTGCTGGATAGTTCCATGGGCCCACGTGGCTTCCACATGGCCTCTTTGCTGCCACAGAGGCAGCCCTGGCATCTCCATCAGATGCCAAAATCAGCAGCCTGCGCTTGCGGGATGAGGCCCCAGACCTGGCTTGAAGGGCAGTGCAGAAGGTTGAGGAGTGCAGGGCAGGACTGGCAGACCCTGCAGAGATGGCCGGGGCAACCACCAGGGCCTCTGACCCAGGGGACACCAGCAGCGAGCAAGTTGGGGGGCCCAGCACCAGTGATGGGGCCAGGGAGAGGATCTGACCCCAGGGAGAGGACCCCTCAGTGGGGTCAGGCTCCGTGGGGGAGGGAAGGGAGATGGCAGAGGGAGGGGAAGGAGCCAGTGCCATGGGGAGGGGCCCAAAGGGAGCTGAGCTTCCTCCAGTTGCCCTGTGTGGGGCCATTTCCCCCCCCAGGAGAAATGGGCAAGGAGGGTGCTGGCCAGAGGGGTCACCTGGGCCAAGGGCACCCCAGGGATCAAAGCAGCTTTGGGGCCAGCGCTCACCACTGCCTGCAACAGGATGAGCTGTTCCTAGTCCCAGTGGAGACGGCTTCTGCCAGCACCAGCAAGCCCTGTTGGGGACAGGTCTAGCCAAGGGTGGTGCTGAGGCCAGCTGGAGGGCGGAGCGGGTTCCCTGCCCAGGGCTATGGCTGGGGCAGGTGAGCTGGGACTTGCCCGCCAAAAGGGGGAGTTTTCTGCTAACAGAGCCTCGTGTAGACGGGGCCTGGGAATTTTGCCACTGAACAAGGGCAGGAGCAGGCTCTGCGTCTGCATGCCTCTGTGTGCACATGTGCACGTAGATGTGTGTGTGTACATGTGTGCACGCCTGTTTGTGTGCGTGCATGCGTATCTTTGTGCGTGTGTGTCAGCCCCACAGGGTCCCTGCAAGGAGCAGGCCACACTCCTTCAGCAGGGCCTGGACAAGCAGCTCAGACACGAAACTGCTGGCTCCTCCCACGACAGCCGGGTCTCCAGCCTGGTTTCCATAACAGAAGAGCCATCTGGGCCCTTTTGCCATTCCTTCCCTTCCCTTCCCCTCCCCTCCCTATCCCCCTCCCCCCCCCGCTATGTGGGAATTTCTGCCCTGCACCAGTGTGTGTGTGTGGGGGGGGAATCATCTCTGATTGGCTGCCTTCCCCACCTCTCCGGTCTCCTGGGGAAGAGCAGCCAATCAGCACTGCTGCCAGTCAGCAGGCAGCACTCCCCCTCCCCTGGCCACGCAGGAGCCGGAGGAGTTTTGGGGAGAAAGTGGGGACAGAAAGAGCCGGGCAGCTCTGCTCCCCCCACCCCTCCTCTGAGCAATGGGTCACTCTGCTCCCCTCAACCCGCAGCGTCAGGCTGGGGAGGGGTGGGGTTAAAGAGTCCCTGGAGCTGCAGGAGGAGCAGGGGTGGGGGGCACTGAAGGAACAAGTCGAAGTGTAAGGGAGAAACTGGAAACTCAGCACCATCAGGGTCAGAATCCCACCACTCGGTGCATGGGCGGGAGCCAGCCCAGTTCAACCATCAAAGCAGAGACACAGACTCAGACACTTCTTTTTTGAAGCAAATGTCTCATGGTTTGGGGCCAAGCTCGAGCGGTTTGGGGCTGACTCACGATTCCTGACCATGCCGGAGACGGGTGCGCCTCAGGGGCCTGCCTGTGCGGCTGATGAACCAGCAGAGACCCTGGGCCACACTCCTTCTGCTCATCTCCCTGCATCCTCCTCTTCTAGGGAGGTTGGGTCAATCCCAGGAGCAACCTTGTCCAGATGGGGAAACTGAGGCACAGAACAGCACGGGGACTTGCCCACAGTCACACAGTTAGTGGCAGAAACAGCACAGAACTCAGGAGTCTTGGCTCCCAGTCCCCTGTGCTCACCATAAGGGGATGCTACCCCACCAGAGCTGAGAACAGGAGTCCTGGCTCCCAGTCACCTGCTCTAATCATTAGGGATGTGTCTACCCAAGAGCCCTACCTCTGCTGAACCTATCCCAAGTGACCCTGCTCAATGCAAGCTGCCCTGTGACAGTTTCTGGGCCGGTTTCTGGGCGGTTTCTGGGCCGCCCCCGCCCCCAGAGCTGCACCAGTGCCAGATGCAGCGATTTATGGGTTGTGACACACTGTGTCCAAGTTCACACGGCATTCAGAGCAAATTCGCCTGCCCCTTGGCCCATCTCCAAGATTCCCAGGGCGCTAGTCCAGAATCCCGCACTGCTTCTGGGAATGACCTTCCTGGAGCCTAGGCTGTTAACAGTGGCAACTGTTTGCACAGCCCAGATACAGCCAGGGCCGGCAGCTTCCCTTCACACATGGGGCACTTGCCTTTGCAAAGAAAACTGAGACCCTCTGATAGCGAGTCCCAGCCTTAAGGGCGATCCAGACCAGAAAATGCACCACTGGGTTTATACTGCCCACCACTGTTACCAGCTTTGCCCGTTACTTTGGGGTACGGTCATTTATTAGGGTGACTCTTCCGGGGCAGGGGGGGGTCTGTAATTCTATCTGCGTACTGCTTGTATCACTTGTGTTCTCATAGGGAACTCTACTTCTCCCTGCTGCAAGTTCCCTCCCCGTGGAGCCTGCGGGACCTCGGTTCCCCAGGGCTGGGTGCTTCCCGCCCCAGAATCAGCCGAACACACACATTAACAGAGCGCGTCTGAGAGGACCGGGTCAATCAGCACTCCCAAGCTAACCCCTTATATGTCCCTGGATCCAGCAGGCTGAGTCGAACAGCACCTCCAATCTGCCACCCTCATATGCCATGGGCACCGCACCAGAATAAAGCCCGCCGGAGCAGGCTGGGTCGAGCAGCATTTCCAAGCTGCCACCCTCATATGCCCCAGGTTCAGCACGTCCCAATCCCCACTTTCACGTTCCAATTGTTCTGGGCGTAACCCCCTTGCTAAGCAAACCCCACAGGATTTTTGGCCGCTGCAGGGATCTTTAGCTCAGGTACGAGGAGCGTTGCTGCAGAGCGAATGGGGAAGCCAAAAAAACACCCACGAGGGGGAGAGAGAGAGAGAAGCAATCAGCTTAACCATGAAAGTTATTTATTGACAGGTAATAACCATCCAAGGGGAGCCAAACAAACGAAACAGTTATAATATTAAATCTAACTTACAGTTGATTATACAAGTCAGGTTTAGAAAACTATAACTGATCACACACGTCAGGGTCAGAAGGCTACACCTAAGAGAGAGCGAGAGAGAGAGAGCTGGGTTCTCACCACTCCGTGAAGCTTGAATCAATCGGGGGTCCCAGGTGGTGGGGGTAGCTGAGGGTCCAGAGTGCTGGAGACAGGCAGAGCCCCCAGCACGATCAGTCAGGAGCAGGGGCAGCATGTTTATAGAAATTTTGGTGGTGCCCAGAACACCCAGAGCCCGCCCCCGGAAACTCTGCCTTCCACCTGCCTAAGGCTCTGGGAGGGAGTTTGGGTTGGGGGAGGAGGTCTGGGGTGCAGGCTCTGGGATGGAGTTTGGGTGCTGGGTGCAGGCTCTAGGCTGGGGGTGCAGGAGGGGATGAGGGGTACAGGCTCTGGGACAGAGTTTGGGTGCAGGATCTGGGCTGGGGGTGGGGGTGCAGGCTCTGGGAGGGAGTATGGGGGAGGAGGGGGTGTGTGGGAAAGGGGTGGGGGTGCAGACTCTGGGAGGGGGTGGGAGGAATGCAGCGCTTACCTAGGGCTCCTAGGCAGGGCGGGCCAGGGGGCCTCTGTGCGCTGCTACCCCCAGGCACTGCCCTCGCATTTCCTATTGGCCACAGGGGCGCTTGGGCTGAGACATAGACCCACCCTGCCCAGGGGCCGCAGGGATGGGCCGGCAGCCACGTGGAGCGAGCAGGCAGGAAGCCGCCCAGGCACCACGGGCCCATATAACTCGCCACCCATGGTCAGGAGAAGATGAAGTCCCAGTGGAACTGACACAGATTTTGGACGCAGGTGTCAGAACGCTTACTTAAGCGTGGGTCGCGGGTTTTTATACGGAAACAACAATGGTTCAAGGGAGAACACTCGATTTGTTTATGGGTAAACTGATGGCTCAAGGGAGGATACCAAAGTTGTTTTGTTCAGGCTAGACAATAGGAACTGCTCCTTACTGGCTATGGGTGGTGTTTCTTCGCGGGACCTCACAATACAATTATGTAGCTTCAGTATTTTGGATACCAATAAAGGATTTATTACTAGAATTGGTCTGATAACTGCTGAGCTGGGTGTGTGCAGGCGTGGGTTCGTTAACACCTGGAGCAGAAATCCCCCAGAGTTCAGTGCGGTTCTTGCCTTGGAATCTCTGTATGCTAATGCGGATGCCTCCCTGTCCCATCCTTGATGCAAATGAGGTTAGGGGAGTAGCCTTAATCCTGTCACCCTTTTCCAGAGGGGTTTAGGGGTGTCTCCCACGGCCTTTTCATTGCTCTTTGTAAGTCTTTCTTCTGATCGGTTTTGGTTCAGGCAGAGGCTGGGGCGGGGAAGGGCTTTCGTGAGTCAGACAGGCTGGGTACTGAGCCCTGGTTCCCCAAAGCACAGAGCTGACAGGTAACACCACAGCGGACACATAATGAGGGAATTTGGGAGTAAACGGACCATTTAAAAAAAATTTTATAAATAGAGACATTCCTGATAAAGACCCAGGTCACCAGCCAGCCAGTCCCGAGCGAGGCCCCGGTTGCTGACCCTCAGTCCTCCAGGCCGCGGAAAGAGTTCTGCATTTCCTCGTTCAGCTGGGCGTAATCAGCCTTAATCTTTGCTTCGCCGTCCTTTACCGGATCCTTGGAAAGGAGAGAGGTGGAGAGACGAGCATAGTTTGTTAGAAAACCCCTTCAACTCAGGCCAGGCCGGAAAGGCCAGGGAAGGAGCAAAGGGGACTTGGGGCCCAGCTGCTGGGTCTCCATTTACTGTTAGGTTTCAGAGTAACAGCCGTGTTAGTCTGTATTCGCAAAAAGAAAAGGAGTACTTGTGGCACCCTAGAGACTAACCAATTTATTTGAGCATAAGCTTTCGTGAGCTACAGTTTACTTTACTGTTAGTATTATAGATGATGTGTATTACCGAAGAGAGCAGGACCTCGTTGTGTTAGGTGCGGTACAAATTTAGGGCCAACTTTTGCCAAACTGCCCTCTGATTTAGGGAGCCCGACGTGAGACTCTCAGGACAGAAACGGCCCAGCCGGGTGCTGGCTCTGGGCAGGAGTCTAGTGGGAGTGAAGCATCTGCTCCCCATGCCACCTGCCAACACAGAGCGGCTGGTCAATGCCCCCGTGGCACCGAGGCTTCGAGTGTCAGGGTGAGAGCTGCTGCTGACAGGCCAGCCCTGCTTGTGGCGCCCTGAGGAATCCAGCCCTGAGCTCTCAGGGACCTGTCCCCACATGATGGGAGTGGGATTGGCCCCTCTGGGAGCCCAGCCCCATCAGGAAGCATCTTGAGTCGGGCTCCCGAAAAACCCAGGCAGCTGAATCAGCAGCTATGTCTGGGGGGAGGGATAGCTCAGTGGTTTGAGCATTGGCCTGCTAAACCCACGGTTGTGAGTTCAATCCTTGAGGGGGCCATTTAGGGATCTGGGGCAAAAATTGGGGATCGGCCCTGCATTGAGCAGGGGGTTGGACTAGATGACCTCCTGAGGTCCCTTCCAACCCTGATGTTCTATGATTCTATGATGCAGCTGAGTTGCCTGGGGGGGCACACAGTGACACTAAGGCTGGTGCCAATGAGCCCAACCCCTGGAGCCGCCGAGGGGCGCCCGCCCGGGAGAGGGCCTAGTGCAAACCCAGCAGGGTCCCCAGAGTTTGGCCGAGTGACGATCCCCCCTGCTCCAGCCATGCTCCCCAGCAAGTGCAGCTCTAGGGGAGCGATCCATCAAGGCTCAGGACCAAGGGCCCGGCCCCATGGAGTCAGGGACCAAGCTCCCATGGGGGGCAGGCTCAGACCCTGAGCATTGCAGCAGCAGATGTGCTCAGCGTGGCCGCGGCCAAAGGTCCTATGCCTGTCCAGGATATCACCGCTGCACCCACCACCAGGGAATTGGGTGCTGGATGTGACAGTGAGCCTGTCTGGCCAGGACAATGGGCCTTGGTCTTCAACAGAAGCAGGATCAAGCCCTGAAATTGCCGCACAAAGCAACCTAGGCCTTGTAGAGGGAGGACAGCGAGTTCCTCCACAGTGCAAGGACAGGCCCCAGCCCTTGGTCTGAGGCCTAGTGAGTGGAGCATTGCCTGGGCTTCAGGGCACCTGGCTTCTATTTCCAGCTCTGCCATGGGCCTGCTGGGTGACCTTGGCCAAGTCTCTTCCCCTCCCTGCGCCTCAGTTTCTCCCTCTGTACAATGGGGATAATAATATGTCTCCTTTGCAAAGCGCTTTGAGATGAACTAGATGGTTGGTATCATTGCAGGGCCCTGCAGACTGCAGGGCTGGACGAAGGCACAGGTGTGACCGACCCCTTGCTACATGTTGGTGACGGGCTCTCAGCCCTCATGGATGACCTGAGTGTAACCACAGCAGCGACACCTGCCTGAGTCTGCAGAGAGCCTGAGACAACCATCCGCTGTGCCCCACAGTGCTCCAGCAGAGGGATCGGGGGAAAGGGGGGGCTCCCAGACACTCTTTCATCATGGTTCTGCTGGGGGGGTGCTGACAGGCCCCCTCCCTGCACTCTGCTCAGGTGGGTGCAGGGTGGGGTCCTCCCTTCTCTGGGACAGACCCAGCCTTGGCTTCCCAAACAGGTGAAGGGAGGGAACCCCGAGTCCAGCATGTGGCTCTTGTACATGTGCTGCCCCTCCCCAAACTTCTTAAAGCAGGGCCAGGCCGTGGCTGGGTGGGGGCCATAGCAAAGGGGCGGGGCCAAAGGGAACCCCCCCACATGGGGGCGTGACCAAGGCCTTGGATGGCATCTCTGTCCTGGGAGGTGACGGTCTGGTCACGCAGCAGTGGACTCAGTGACCCCAGCATGTCAGCAGGGAAGCGAGTCTCCTGGTAGCGAGTGATCTGGAGTCGCAGCCAGACCTCACAGCGCTCAGACAGCAAGGGGACAGCTAAGTACAGAAACTGCAGGTGGAAGGAGGTGGGGTGCATGCAAGGGGAGCGGGGGGTGGAAGGGTTGGTAGGTGGAGAGCTGGATGGACGGATGGGTGGGTAGATGGTTGGATGGATGGGTGGAAGAATGGATGGACAGGTCAGTGGCTGGATAGGATGGTGGATAGCTGGATGGATTGATGGAGTGTGGATGGATGGACGGATTGATGGAGGATGGATGAATGGAGGGTGGGTGGATGGTTGGATGGATGGGTGGAAGAATGGATGGACAGGTCAGTGGCTGGATAGGATGGTGGATAGCTGGATGGATTGATGGAGTGTGGGTGGATGGATGGATTGATGGAGGATGGATGAATGGAGGGTGGGTGGATGGTTGGATGGATGGGTGGAAGAATGGATGGACAGGTCAGTGGCTGGATAGGATGGTGGATAGCTGGATGGATTGATGGAGTGTGGGTGGATGGATGGATTGATGAAGGATGGATGAATGGAGGGTGGGTGGATGGAAGGATGAGCTGGTCGGTGAATGGATGAATCGATGAAGTGTGGGTGGATGGGTGGATGGGAGGATGGATGGATGGAGCGTGGCGGGATGGATCTGAAAGCCATGCAGCACCAGCCGCTCTGGAGCAGTTTAATTAGCTAACACACTGTTAACCGCTTCAGTCCCAGAGCCAACTGCCCATGCAATACCATGCCCGCGCAGAGCTAGGGCTGCCCAGCGCCTCACCTTGAACTTCATGGAGCTCAGCTTGTACATGATGTCCCCGAGGCTCTCGCGGATTATGGCCCAGGTGATCTTGTTCTCAGACTGGGCTGTGGACTCCACCGTGTGCCGGGCCATGTCATAGAAGGCAATCATGTTCTGCAGCATCCCCACCGTCTTGTAGAAGGGGCAGAACCTGCCACGGCAGAGACAGGAAAGGCCTTGGGGTGTCACGGAGCCTCTGGAGCGGCCCCCATGGACTCAGCACCAGAGCTGCTCCCTGACGTCAGCCTTGTCCCAGAGCACGGCCGGCCTGGAGCTGCGAGCAGCTCGTGCGGTGGGCAGAGGTCAATCAACAACAGAGAGTGCTCAGGATGGGAAAGGAACTAGAGAAGGAGGCTCCCATCTGCAGTGATGGACCCCATGGGGATCTTGGGGGGCACCTCTGCCAGCCTGGGCTCCAGGGCTACCACAGCTGGGCCATTCTCAACCCCCAGTTCCTCCCCCAGGTCAGAGCTCTCCCTGGTCAACATGAGCCCATCATGGCCTCTTTCATCACCCCAGTGGGTCCCTTGGCCCCGGTCCCTGCTTCACCCCAAACACACATTTCCACCCCATCTGCACCAGCGGAAGTGAGAGGAAAGTTTCTCCCCCTCTGCTAAATCCAGGGTGTGGCATGTCAACGCCCGGCAGTCATTTAGGACAGGAAGTAAAGAATGACTTCTTCAGTTGGAACCACTGGGCCACCTGAGGTAGGGCGAAGGGAGTGAGCTCTAGAGATAACCCAGTGGGCCAGTGCCCAGGTGCTACTGCGACAGATGGAGGGAGGGTATGAGAGGAGAGCGAGAGATGGGGGGATACAAGGACGGAGAGCAATGGAGGTGTATGGGGATGGACGGAGCGCGATGGGGATGGACGGGACGGACAAAGCGCGATGGGATTGGATGGGAAGGGACGGAGCGCGATGGGGGTGGATGGGAATGGACGGAGCACGATGCGGGTGGACGGGGACGGATGGAGCACAAAGGGGGTGGACAGGGATGGACGGAACATGATGGGGACAGACAGAGCGCAATGGGGGTGGACGGGGATGGACGGAGTGTGAAGGGGGTAGATGGGGACGGACGGAGTGTGAAGGGGGTAGATGGGGGATGGACAGAGCGCGAAGGGGGTGGACAGGGATGGACAGAGTGCGAAGGGGGTAGATGGGGGATGGACAGAGCGCGAAGGGGGTGGACGGGGATGGACAGAGTGCGAAGGGGGTGGACGAGGATGGACGGAGCGCAATGGGGGTGGACAGGGATGGACGGAGCGCGATGGGGATGGACGGGGACAGGCGGAGCAGGATGCGGGTGGACGGGGAGGGACGGAGCGTGAAGGGGGTGGATGGGGGATGGACAGAGAGCGATGGGATTGGACGGGGGACGGACGGAGAGCGATGGGATTGGACGGGGATGGACAGAGCACGATGGGGATGGATGGGGACAGGCATAGCACGATGCAGGTGGACAGGGATGGACGGAGCATGAAGGGGGTGGACGGGGGATGGACAGAGAGCAATGGGGGTGGACGGGGACGGACAAAGCGCGATGCGGGCGGATGGGGAGGGACAGAGTGTGTTGGGGGTGGATGGGGATGGACAGAGCGCGACGGAGGTGGATGGGGAGGGACGGAGCATGTTGGGGGTGGACTAGACGGACGGAGCGCGAAGGGGATGGACGGGGGATGGACAGAGAGCGATGGGGGTGGACGGGGCCGGGCGGAGTATGATGGGGGTAAACGGGGAGGGATGTAGAGTGGCCAGGGGCTGTGGCTGTGGGGCTGGCCGACGGCCGAGATGGCTGGTACCTGTCGTAGGAGGAGTAGCCGTTCTGCTGCAGGAAGTCATCCTTAATCAGCTTGGCCACCTCCAGCGTGATCTTGTCAGCCTCAGCCAGGGAGGCCTGTGGGGAGAGCACGGGGACATGAGGGGCACAGCTTGGCCCTCCCACCATTTTCCCTCCCCCATCCCTTCCCCTCTCCTCCCTCCTTTGCTTCCCTTCCCCTAGCCCGTGCCCCCTCACCTTGCCCACCAGCTGCACGATCTCAGCCAGGTCCTCCTCCTCCTGCAGGATCTCCTTGGCCTTGGTGCGCTGGGCGGTGAACTCGGGGTGGTGGAGCTCGTAGTGCTCGTCCAGCGCCCGCATGTACTTGCTGTAGCTGATGAGCCAGTTCACCGAGGGGAAGTGCTTCCGCTGGGCCAGCTTCTTGTCCAGCCCCCAGAAGACCTGGGTGGGGCAGGAGAAATGCCGCAGGGGGTGAGAAGGGGACAGGACCGGGGGGGGGCGGGATTCCCAAGGGGGTCGAAGGCCCCAGGGAGACTCACCTGGACAATCCCCAGGGTCGCAGAGGTCACAGGGTCGGAGAAGTCACCTCCCGGCGGGGACACCCTGGGATGACATAGAGAGGGGCTTAGTCTGAGCAACTGGCCGGTATGGACTCTAATCCACAGCCGGATCATGCTGGCGTTAAGAGTGGGGCTAATGTACCACAGCAATGAGTGGGGGACAGACACGGGGATGGATGGATGGGTGGACGGATGCTCGGGTGGGGGGATGCAGGGATAGATGGACAGATAAACATATGGAGGGATGGGTGGATAGATGCAGGGGTGGGTGGATGGAGGGATCGGTGGATAGGTGGATGGACAGATGCAGGGATAGGCAGACAGATGGATGCAGGCATGGATGGAGAGATGCAGAGTGGATGGATGGATGTGGGTGTTGGGGGCTCAGGGGGCTTGGGGGTGTTGGGCAGCATTGGGGTGTCGGGGGGTTGTTGGGGGTTATGGGTATGTCATGGGTCATGGGGGGTGTCAGCTGGCATGCGGGTGTCAAAGGTGGGGGTGTTGGGATGTTGGGGATGTCGGGGGGTTGTGGGGGGTGTCAGGAGTGGTGGGGGTTGTCAACTGGAGTGGGGGTGTTGGGGGTTGTGGGGGTGTCAGGGTGTCAGGGGGTTGTGGGAGTGTCGGGAGTGGTGGGGGATGTCGGCTGGTGTGGTGGTGTCGGGAGTCCTGGGAAGAGTCGGCTGGTGTGAGGGTGTTGGGGGTTGTGGGTGGTGTCAGGATCTTGGGGGTATCGGGGGGTTGTGGGGGTGTCGGGAGTCCTGGGGGGGTGTCGGCTGGTGTGGGGCTGTTGGGGGTTGTGGGCGGTGTCAGGATCTTGGGGGTATCGGGGGGTTGTGGGGGTGTCGGGAGTCCTGGGGGGGTGTCGGCTGGTGTGGGGCTGTTGGGGGTTGTGGGCGGTGTCAGGATCTTGGGGGTATAGGGGGGTTGTGGGGTTGTCGGGAGTCCTGGGGGGGTGTCGGCTGGTGTGGGGCTGTTGGGGGTTGTGGGCGGTGTCAGGATCTTGGGGGTATCGGGGGGGTTGTGGGGGTGTCGGGAGTCCTGGGGGGGTGTCGGCTGGTGTGGGGCTGTTGGGGGTTGTGGGTGGTGTCAGGATCTTGGGGGTATCGGGGGGTTGTGGGGGTGTCGGGAGTCCTGGGGGGGTGTCGGCTGGTGTGGGGCTGTTGGGGGTTGTGGGCGGTGTCAGGATCTTGGGGGTATCGGGGGGTTGTGGGGGTGTCGGGAGTCCTGGGGGGGTGTCGGCTGGTGTGGGGGTGTCAGGGGTTGTGGGGGTGTCAGGATGTTTGTGGTGTCAGGAGTTCTGGGGGGTGTCAGGGGCCTTTCCCCGTATCAGCTCCGACTCCCCCACCTCGTTGGCATCAAGGCTGGATGCTCGGGGAAGGCAGGAAGAACTCACGCGCCAACAATGCTCACGCTCCCCTCCCGCTCCGGGCTGCCCAGGCACTTGACCCGTCCTGCACGCTCGTAGAAGGACGCCAGGCGGGCGCCGAGGTAGGCCGGGTACCCGCTGTCTGGAAAGCAAAGCCACCGTGTGTCTGGGGGTGCTCGGAGCAGGGTGGGTCCCAGCGGCACCAGCAGGGGGAGCCCTCTGGTCTTGCCTGAGTCAGGGGGCAGGAGATGGGGGATCCCAAGCCAATGGGCAGACGGCATGGGGGGCTGCACAGCACCCTGGCCAGCGATGTGCCTGGGGTCCCTCTCACGAGGGGAAGGGGGGCTCCATCTCGGCACAGCCTCACCCCTCGCAGTGCACTCGGCCCCCCACAGCCCAGGGCTATAAACTCACTGGTCCCCACACCAGAGCAGGGATCCTCTTTGCCCAGCACAGCCTGAGCACACTGGGATCAGGGGGCACCCCGGGGACAGGATGACACCGATCGGGGGCTGCCTGGGGATGCCCCTGAGGATGGCACCAATCGGGGCAGCAGGGGGTGGGTATGTGTGACCATTGAAAAGGGTCAGAGCCAATCACAGGCAGTGAAGGGGGGAAGCCACATCAGAACACCCATCAAGGCAGCACCCTTGGGGGCAGGGTGGCACCAGCTATGGTCAGTGAAGGGGGCAGAGGAGACAGTGTCACAAGCCCTGGCAATGGAGCGGGAACATGCCCGGCCCCATGCCCCAGTGACCAGCCCCATGCCCCAGTGCTGGGAACCAGCTGCCCCAGGGAACATGACTGGATTTGGGGGGACACAGACTCGCCAGGCCCCATTCTGCTTTCCAAGAGGGGTTCAGAGTTGGGGTTAATCCTGCCCTGCCCCCCTGCGGGCCCCCAGCCGCCCTCGGTGCAAGGCCTCAGCTGCACAGCGGGCAGAGCATCACCTGCAGGCATCTCTGCCAGCCGGCCGGAGATCTCGCGCAGCGCCTCAGCCCAGCGGGAGGTGGAGTCGGCCATCATGCTGACGTGGTAGCCCATGTCGCGGAAATACTCCGAGAGTGTGATCCCTGCGGGGATGCGAGCATCGGAAATATGAATCCCACAGATCCCTTCCAGCTCCCCGCAGCTCTGCGGGTGACCCAACCCGCAGCCCCCTGCTATACCAGTTCTGGGCTTCCCCTTCCACAGCTCTGCCGGTGGCCCTCAATCCCGACCCGCAGCCCTCTGCTAGCCCAGCCATGGGCAAACTGTGAGTCAGACTGAATTTTGTGACGCTTGTCCCATAGGGGTGATTGGCTGGAGACTGGGAGGCTGAGCCCTTCCCACTCTGTCCATTCATGGAGTCCCTCCTGCGAGCACCATGCTGGGGGATGCATGGCAGAAAGCAGGAGCAGAGCAGTGCCCGCCAGCCCCAAGGGCAGGGCAGGTGCTCACCTGTGTAGATGGAGGCCTCCCGGGCAGCCACGGGCATGTTGGACGTGTTGGCCACCAGCGCAGTGCGCTTCATGATGGTCTCTGTCTTCCCATCCACCTCCATGGTGAGCTGGGGACAGAACACAGCAGGGTCAGTCCCAGGGAGGGGCTCTTGGCACAGATGCAACCCGGGCCCAGGAGACTTGGAGAAGCCCTGGGAGATGTTCCCATCCAGGGATGAGTGGGATAGGCAGAAACGGACGCTTGGCTCAGCCCGGCCCTGACTCCCCCAGCCAGGGGGCTCCCAGCTGGGATATGCCCAGTACACCCCTACCGAACCGGCCAGGGGGCTCCCATCCAGGACTGGCCCAGTACACCCCTACCGAACCAACCAGGGGGCTCCCAGCAAGGACTGGCCCAGTACACCGCTACCAAACCGGCCAGGGGGCTCCCAGCTGAGACAGGTCCAGTACACCCTACTGAACAATCCAGGGGGCTCCCAGCAACGACTGGCCCAGTACACCTGTACTGAACCAGCCAGGGGCTCCCAGCAAGGACCAGTCCAGTACACCCGTATCGAACCAGCCAGGGGGCTCCCAGCTGGGATAGGCCCAGTACATCCATACTGAACCAGCCAGGGGGCTCCCAGCTGAGACAGGTCCAGTACACTCCTACCGAATTGGCCAGGAGCTCCCATCTGGGACTGGCCCGGTACACCCCTAATGAATCGTCCAGGGTCTCCCAGCTGGGACTGGCCCAGGATGGTTCTTGCTGGCCAGGCCACGGGGTGTAGGAATGTAGGCCTGCCTGATGTACATAATTAAACATGGGGAGACCTCATCTCTTGGAAGACAGGAGCAGGGAGGGAAATTGCTCAGCAAATTGGAAACAGAATGTTTGTGCTAACTAGGATACAGTGCGTGGGTGCGGGAATGGAGAGAAAGAATGTCTGAGCCAGCCAAGATAAGAGGAAGAACACCCAGAGACCCATTTACTGGCAACAAGATAACGATAGACAAGATACGTGGGGGATGTAGAGGTGAGGTGACGAGCAGGTCGAGCGTAGACGGAGCCTGGTGCACAGGGAATGGCTCTTACATGGTGACCAAGCCAGGCCCCAAACGTCCAGTAAAGGCACCGGACGGGAGAGGTCTAGTGTGTGACTCTGGCTGTGTGGGGCACCCTGTGCCCACTCCCGGCGCTTTGCCTGAGTGACAAGATGAGTCAGACTGAGCTCTGGGGACCCAAGTGGAAGAGGTCTCTGGGGACCTCACAGCTGAGATCAGCCCAGATCCAGGAGAGTCATGACTTCGCCCCGGGGGAGCCGCAGGTGCTGGTGACAGGAGGGAAACGGCTCCTGAGCCCCAAGCTTCATTGGAGAAGCCCAGACAACCCATGATCCCCCCCAAACCCACAGCACCCCCCAGCTCATGAGCTGCCCCCAGCATAAGGAGAGGCCCCCCCCTATGGCCCAGAGCTCCCACCCCACTCCCACATCGTCCATGGCTCACAACCCCATCAGTGAAATATCTCCCATGTTCCTTTGCTCCCGCTCCCCCAACTGGGTTCAACCCCATGGCTCCCGCCACCCCAGCTGGGTTCACCCGCCACGGCCTCCCCAGCTCACCTCAGGGAAGTCCCGCAGCACCTCCGACATCTCGTTGCCGCGCTCACCACAGCCCACGTAGATGATGACGTCGCTGTTGGAGTACTTGGACAGCGACTGCGAGATGACAGTCTTGCCGCAGCCAAAGGCCCCCGGGATGGCCGTGGTCCCGCCCTGAACGCACCTGGGGGGCAAAGGGGCCCTGAGTCAGCAGCACAGGAGGTGCCTTGGGGCACAGCCCCCGCCCCGCCCGGGGAGCTGAGGGCTTCAGCAGCTTGCCCGCAGGCAGGGCACGGTCCCGGCCCGCAGCTCCCTGTGGTCACTCAGGGCAGTCCCACGCTGGCTCGGGGGGAGGTGACCAGGGTGCCCACTGGTGGCCAGTGACTATAACAGCCTCCTCTTTACCCCCCATGGCTGGTCTTGTAGCTCAAACGGCCCAGAGCTGCGCCCTGGGTGCCCGCAGGTCCAGGCTCAATCCCTGCTGACAGCCACTGTGGGTTCAGGCTGTTACGCTGATTCTGGGCTGGGGGACGTGAGAAGAGGCTGCAAATACCCTAAGTACCAAAGTGGGTGGGGGGCTATAGATGCCAAGGCAGCCCTCTTAGCAACCTAGCTTCCAGTTGCATCTCGATTGCTACCCTAGCCGGGACTCCACTGATGCTGGCCGGGGGCACATCAGGCTCACAGCTGTCTGCTTGGCCCCATGAGCTCTCCAGCTGCAGCAGGGTCACTGGCCCCGGGGGCAAAGGGCGTGTGAAACGCTGTGTGAAGGCCAAGAGCGGGGCAGGAGGAGTCAGGCCTGTGGGGCGGGGCATGGGGCCAGAAGCGGGAGCAACGAGGGGGGAGTGAAGGAAGGGAAAGGTTTGCCATGCTGGCAAGAAGATTAATTGGCATCGCCCCAAAATACTGAAGAGTGGGTGGAAAGTAATCGGTATTCTCCCAGACTCCCTGTGGCATGGGGAGGAGGGAGCTGCCGGCCCTGGGGTGGGGGTGTCAAGGCATCAGAGAAAACCAAAGCTGGGTAAATACATCCCGCGCTTTTATCAGTTATTGAGATTCCAACTCTCTGGCTGACCGAGGCAGGGCCAGGAGCTCCCCCCACAGCCAGCACTCCTGCCCCACTCCCTAGAAAGGCTGGGCCAGGAGCTGGGAGCTCCCCCCACAGCCAGCACTCCTGCCCCACTCCCTAGAAAGGCTGGGCCAGGAGCTGGGAGCTCCCCCCACAGCCAGCACTCCTGCCCCACTCCCTAGAAAGGCTGGGCCAGGAGCTGGGAGCTCCCCCCATAGCCAGCGCTCCTGCCCCACTCCCCACAGTGCCCCCTGCTGCTGGACACTGGCAGACACCCACTTCCCATTGTTCTCCCTTGTCTTTGCCTTCGGTGCCAGGGGAGGTGGTGGAAGAGCCCCAACCCCACCATCTGCCTGAGGTCTCCCCCCCACTCCCACCCCCACCTCAGGGCTGAGAGTGGGGCCGGGGGGCGTCACTCACGGGAAGAGGGCATCCAGGACCCTCTGGCCGGTCAGTAGCGGGTAGTTGGCGGGGAGCTTCTCCGTCACAGGCCGGATCTGCCGCACAGGCCACACCTGTAGCATGGTGAGCCGCTCTGCCACGCCCTCGAAGTCCAGCTCCAGCACCACGTCCTGGGGGCAGGCAGATACGGCTAAGCGGGGCCCAGAGCCAGCCACCACAGGGGGGTGGGAGACCCTGGGGCTGATTCTCAGCTACCCCATCCCTGCATTGGGGGGAGGGGGCTAAGGGGTTTTAATCATCTTTGTGCTCCCCATATTCTGAGCCCTGCCCAGCCGCTGGTGTCTCACTGTGCCTGCTCTATGCCTCAGTTTCTCTATCTGTAAGTGGGGGAAAATACTGCCCATGAGCTGCCAGTGGGATTGTGTGGGCAAGGCAGGCACGGGCCATGAGCTGCCTGCAGAAGATTCCCTTTGAGAGAGGGACCTTAGACCGTCAAGTGAGAGAATCAAGGGCTACAACTGATTGGAAGAGCCAATTGCTGGGAGAGGAATGCAAATGGCTCATTAAATATAGGGCTCATTAATAAGCAAACAGGAAGTGACCATCTGATGACGTCGTTTGAGACACAGGAAGGAACTCTGGACTAACGAAAAAAATCTAAAAATAAAACCAAAATACAACCGGCTGGAGATGAGCCCGAGCCAGACTCCTGGGTCCTCCAAACCCCCTCAAAACTTGACCCAGAGCCAAACTTCACAGCTCAGGACAACTGGATCAGAACTCACATCCCCCTTGAGCTCTGGGGCAGCTCAGGTCCAGAAGCCCCATTTGTATGGTGCTGGCCAGTCAGGCTGCCCTTTGGACCAGTGCTAAAGCCACAGTTCTGGCCTCAGCAGCGCCCAGCACAATGGGAGAGCGCTCACGGCCCCGGTGCCCGGCGGCTGCTGTATAAATAATGGGGAATACTCATTGCTCTTGACCAGTCGCTGCCCACACCGGCCCCTGCCCCCCCCATGGCACTACCGAGATGTCATAGAGCCCCGGCGGGGCGACGTAGGTCACGGTGCCCCGGCTCCGGGGTGGTACCATGATCTTGTGCTTGATGAGAGAGTTCTCGGCCACCAGGGCATAGATGTCCCCGCCGGTCACATGACTCCCAACCTGGAAAGAGGGAAGAGAAGTGTCAGATACAGGACAGTGCCTACTGGTGAAGCTGCAGGGCCAAGACAGCCCAGTCACCATAGAATCATAGGACTGGAGGGGACCTCGAGAGGTCATCTAGTCCAGTCCCCTGCACTCATGGCAGAACTAAGTATTATCTAGACCATCCCTGACAAGGGTTTGTCCAACCTGCTCTTAAAAATCTCCAATGATGGAGATTCCACAACCTCCCTAGGCAATTTATTCCAGGAAGTCCAACCTAAACCGTCCTTGCTGCAATTTAAGCCCGTTGCTTCTTGTCTTATCCTCAGAGGTTAAGGAGAACAATGGTTCTCCCTCCTCCTTGTAACAACCCTTTATGCATTTGAAAACTCTTCTCATGTCGCCTCTCAATCTTCTCTTCTCCAGACTAAATGTACCCAGTTTTCTCAATCATCCCTCATGGGTCATGTTTTGTGGACCTTTCATCATTTTTGTTGCTCTTCTCTGGACTTTCTCCAATTTGTCCGCATCTTTCCTGAAACATGGAGCCCAGAACTGGACACAATACTCCAGTTGAGGCTTAATCAGCGCAGAGTAGAGTGGAAGAATTGCTCCTCATGTCTGGCTTACAACACTCCTGCTAATGCAGCCCAGAATGATGTCTGCTTCTTTTTTTTTTTTTTTTTTTTTTTGCAAGTGTTAACTCATTTAGCTTGTGATCCACTATGACCCCCAGATCCCTTTCCGCAGTACTCCTTCCTAGGCAGTCGTTTCCCTTTCTGTATGTGTGCAACTGATTGTTCCTTCCTAAATGGAGTACTTTGCATTTGTCTTTATTGAATTTCATCCTATTTACTTCAGACCATTTCTCCAGTTTGTTCAGATCATTTTGAATTTTAATCCTATCCTCCAAAGCACTTGCAACCCCTGCCAGCTTGGTATTGTCCGCAGACTTTATAAGTGTACTCTCTATGCCATTATCTAAACCATTGATGAAGATACTGAACAGAACCGGACCCAGAACTGATCCCTGAGGGACCCCACTCGTTATGCCCTTCCAGCTTGACTGTGAACCACTGATAACTACTTTCTGGGAACGGTTTTCCAATCAGTTATGTATCTACTTTATAGTAGCTCCATCTAGGTTGTATTTCCCTCGTTTATGTATGAGATGGTCATGCAAGACAGTATCAAAAGCCTTACTAAAGTGAAGATATAGCACATCTACCACCTCCCCCGTCTCCACAAGGCTTGTTACCCTGTCAAAGAAAGCTATCAGGTTGGTTTGACGTGATTTGTACTTGCACATGTATGGCCTGCAGGGGGTGCTGCTTGGCACAGACCCTCACAAGATTCCCCAAGAGCTGCCTGCCTCCTATGGGGAGCATCCTCAACCACAAGCAGTTCTGCTGCCAAGGCCGGACTCCCTGTGTCTCTCCTTGCTGCTCTTCGCTCCTTTCCATCCCCCGGTCCTGGCTTATCCTCAGGGATTCGTCTGCCCCTGCAGCCCCTTCCCCACAGGTGGTCACTGGTTGGGGTATCATGGTGACGAACCCCAGTCGTGATGAGCTGGGGGGTGGGAAGGAGCAGCAGGAGCAGACGAATAATTCCAGGAACAAAAGTGCTGGTTTCCTTGTGTCCCAGAGGCAGAGGAGTTTAGGAAACGCCGGAGCCAAATTTCAAGTTTTTCAAAGTTTTCACTAGTAGGTGCTGGCCTCAGGCAGTCAGGGCTGAGCCCAACATCCCAGAGCAGCATTGGACATGCTGTGCTACTGGGAGTGAGGGGGTCACTAGGGGGCACTCTCCCCTAGCAGTCAGGGTTGGCCCCGATGCCCCAGTGCAGCACTAGGGGGTGCTGTGCTGCAGGGGGCAGGGTGAGGGCTCAGTAGGGGGCGCTGTGCTGAAGGGAGAAAGGTGGGGGTGTAGTAGGGGGCGCTGTGCTGCAGGGGGCGGGGTGAGGGCTCAGTAGGGGGCACTGTGCTGCAGGGGGCGGGGTGAGGGCTCAGTAGGGGGCGCTGTGCTGAAGGGAGAAAGGTGGGGGTGTAGTAGGGGGCACTGTGCTGCAGGGGGGTGAGGGCTCAGTAGGGGGCCCTGTGCTGCAGAGGGCAGGGTGAGGGCTCAGTAGGGGGCGCTGCAGGGAACGGGGCAGGGGCTCAGTAGGGGGCGCTGTGCTGCAGGGGGGGGTGAGGGCTCAGTAAGGGGCGCTGTGCTGCAGGGAGAAAGGTGGGGGTGTAGTAGGGGGCGCTGTGCTGCAGGGGGGGTGAGGGCTCAGTAGGGGGCGCTGTGCTGCAGGGGGGGGGTGAGGGCTCAGTAGGGGGCGCTGTGCTGAAGGGAGAAATGTGGGGGCTCAGTAGGGGGCACTGTGCTGCAGGGAGTGAGGGTGTCGCTAAGGGTTGCTCTCCCTAGCAGGCAGGGGTGACCCTGATGGCCCCACACAGCATCAGGGGGCGCTGTGCAGCTGGAGGTGCCAGCCTGTGCCTGAGTCCCCAGGGCACGGTCCCCGGGAGCTGGTGCATGAGTCCTGTTGCCCTGCCTGTTGCCATGCCCTGCATGAGTCCTGTTGCATCTGCTGCCTCTGCATGTCTACACAAGGCCAGACCCTCCTGATCTCCTGGGTTCTCTCCTCCACCGGGGGTGCCGGCCGCAGCCCGTGCCTGGAGCTGCAGAGACCCCTGCAGGAGGCTCCAGCCAGGTGCCTGGGAACCGGCTCGGGGAGGGCGAGACTCCTGCTGGCAAAGCCTCCCCCACACCAGGCGCTGCCCCACGCCGGGCCCCTACCCGGATGCTCTGGCTCGGGGCGAAGTCCCACTTGACGTCCTGAGACAGGGCGGGGATGTTGATGCCGCGGGGGATGTAGATGCTCTGGGTCAGCTCGGTGATGTCCTTCAAGGGGCGCTGGATGCCGTCAAAGATGGAGCCCATGATGCCCGGGCCCAGCTCCACCGAGAGCGGCTTCCCCGTCCGCAGCACCGGGTCCCCCACGCAGACCCCCGCTGCCACCAGTGTTCAGGAGAGGGCTCCGGGCCCAGAGACATGCACAGGGGCAGGTGGGGTGGGTGGGAACGGGCTCAAACATATTCAGGGTCCCCCCATGATAGATAGATGGAGGGGGTGCAGATAGGTAGGCATGGCCAGGTGATGAGGGAGATCGGGGGGCATGAGGTGCAGGCCTGGCAGCGGGCACAGCCTGGGGGGGGGGAATTCAGGGGCCACGGCCCGGGGTGGGGTTCAGGGGGCACGGCCTGGCAGGGGGAAATTCAGGGTACATGGCCTGGGCGGGAGGGCAGGGAACGTGGCCTGGTGGGTGGGTTCAGAGGACAGGGCCTGGGGGGCTCAGGGGGCACAGCCTGGCAGGAAGGATACAGGTCTCTTCGTACACCTGGATGGTGGCCAGGTCTCCCTCGAGACGGATGATTTCGCCCACCAGCTCGGCGTGCCCCACGCGCACCAGCTCGTACATGGCGGCCCCGGCCATGCTGCTGGCGGTGACCACTGGGGGGAGAGACGGGAGGTTAGACCCCGGGGTGGTGCCCAGGGCTGGGCTAGGGGACGGGCGACGCCTCTGACCCGGGAGCCTGCATGGCCCCTAGCACCCAGTCTTCACAGCGGAGCTCCCCTCGCCCACCCCTCTCCCCCACCCCCACTATCCCCTGCACCCCCCCGTATCTACCCACCCCCCGTATCTCCCTACCCCACCCCTCTCCCCCACCCCCTGTAACCCCTGCACCCAAACCCTGTATCTACCCATCCTCTGTATCCCCCTCCCCCACCCCTCTCCCCCATCCCCTGTATCCCCTCCCACACCCCCTGTATCTCCCTACCCCACCCCTCTCCCCCACCCCCTGTAACCCCTGCACCCAACCCCTGTATCCCCTCCCACACCCCCTGTATCTCCCTACCCCCACCCCTCTCCCCCACCCCCACTATCCCCTGCACCCCCCCGTATCTACCCACCCTCTGTATCTCCCTACCCCACCCCTCTCCCCCACCCCCTGTAACCCCTGCACCCAACCCCTGTATCTACCCATCCTCTGTATCCCCCTCCCCCATCCCCTGTATCCCCTCCCACACCCCCTGTATCTCCCTACCCCCACCCCTCTCCCCCACCCCCACTATCCCCTGCACCCCCCGTATCTACCCACCCTCTGTATCTCCCTACCCCACCCTCTCCCCCACCCCTTAACCCCCACCCAACCCCATCCCCTCCCACACCCCCTTATCTCCCTACCCCCACCCCTCTCCCCCACCCCCACTATCCCCTCACCCCCCTATCTACCCACCCTCTGTATTCCCTACCCCACCCCTCCCCCCACCCCCCTATCCCCTGCACCCCCCCATATCTACCCACCCTCTGTATCTCCCTACCCCACCCCTCTCCCCCACCCCCCTATCCCCTCACCCCCCATATCTACCCACCCTCTGTATTCCCTACCCCACCCCTCTCCCCCACCCCCACTATCCCCTGCACCCAACCCCTTATCCCTCCCACACCCCCTGTATCTCCCTACCCCCACCCCTCTCCCCCACCCCCACTATCCCCTCACCCCCCTATTACCACCTCTGTATTCCCTACCCCACCCCTCTCCCCCACCCCTGTAACCCCTACCCAACCCTGTATCCCTCCCACACCCCCTTATCTCCCTACCCCCACCCCTCTCCCCCACCCCTGTAACCCTACCCAACCCCTGTATCTACCCATCCTCTGTATCCCCCTCCCCCATCCCCTGTATCCCCTCCCACACCCCTGTATCTCCCTACCCCCACCCCTCTCCCCCACCCCCACTATCCCTGCACCCCCGTATCTACCCACCCTCTGTATCTCCCTACCCCACCCCTCTCCCCCACCCCCCTATCCCTCACCAACCCCTATCCCCTCCCACACCCCCTGTATCTCCCTACCCCCACCCCTCTCCCCCACCCCCACTATCCCCTGCACCCCCCCGTATCTACCCACCCTCTGTATCTCCCTACCCCACCCCTCTCCCCCACCCCCACTATCCCCTGCACCCAACCCCTGTATCCCCTCCCACACCCCCTGTATCTCCCTACCCCCACCCCTCTCCCCCATCCCCACTATCCCCTGCACCCCCCCGTATCTACCCACCCTCTGTATCTCCCTACCCCACCCCTCTCCCCCACCCCCTGTAACCCCTGCACCCAACCCCTGTATCTCCTCCCACACCCCCTGTATCTCCCTACCCCCACCCCTCTCCCCCACCCCCACTATCCCCTGCACCCCCCGTATCTACCCACCCTCTGTATCTCCCTACCCCACCCCTCTCCCCCACCCCCACTATCCCCTGCACCCCCCATATCTACCCACCCTCTGTATCTCCCTACCCCACCCCTCTCCCCCACCCCCTATCCCCTGACCCCCATATCTACCCACCCTCTGTATCTCCCTACCCCACCCCTCTCCCCCACCCCCACTATCCCCTGCACCCAACCCCTGTATCCCCTCCCACACCCCCTGTATCTCCCTACCCCCACCCCTCTCCCCCACCCCCACTATCCCCTGCACCCCCCCGTATCTACCCACCCTCTGTATCTCCCTACCCCACCCCTCTCCCCCACCCCCTGTAACCCCTGCACCCAACCCCTGTATCCCCTCCCACACCCCCTGTATCTCCCTACCCCCACCCCTCTCCCCCACCCCCTGTAACCCCTGCACCCAACCCCTGTATCTACCCATCCTCTGTATCCCCCTCCCCCCATCCCCTGTATCCCCTCCCACACCCCCTGTATCTCCCTACCCCCACCCCTCTCCCCCACCCCCACTATCCCCTGCACCCCCCCCATATCTACCCACCCTCTGTATCTCCCTACCCCACCCCTCTCCCCCACCCCCTGTAACCCCTGCACCCAACCCCTGTATCCCCTCCCACACCCCCTGTATCTCCCTACCCCCACCCCTCTCCCCCACCCCCAGTATCCCCGGCACCCCCCCGTATCTACCCACCCCCGTATCTCCCTACCCCTACCCCTCTCCCCCGCCCCCTGTACCCCTGCACCCAACCCCCATGTAAGCAGTGTCAGGATGAGCTCCACCCTGACATCTGGTGGTGAGGTGTGGCAAGTTGTGGAAAAGAACTTCAGGGGCTGATCTCATTTGCATAGGCACACCCACCCTGCCTAGAATGAGGCCATAGCTGCCCAAATGGTCACTTTGGCTGCTGTGGGATCCCCAGTGTCTCTGTTATTGGGGCAGGAAGAATAAACTGTTATTACCCTGATTATGGGAACTGTGCTTGGAACTGTAGTTGGCCTTTTGTGATGATGGAGGGACTCACCATCAACTAAGTGGCACTCGCTAGGCAAGGGTCATGGGTTCCAAAAGTCTGTGAATTGAGAGAGGGTGGGGATAGGTAATGGTATTAATACTTGGTGGTATGGGTCCCTTGGTGAGGGCCTTATGTGTTAATTGCACTTTCTCCACTTCATTAGAAGTCTAGTTGCAAGCTGCTGAGCTCACTTTGGGCTAATGGTGCTCCAGCACTGAGGCTCCCCTACTACAAGCTGGATTCGCCAATGAGCGTTGTGTTAAGTAGTAGGGGAGCCTGAAGATATATTGTGGAGCAGTTTGTGGGATGGCTGGAGTGCCTTGTGGACAGGCTGGTAGAGCAGTTCGTAGGACGGCAGGAGCTGCTGGTGGGATGCGGAGCAGTTTGTGGACCGGCTGGTGGAGCAGTTCGTGGGATGGTGGGAGCTGCTTGTGGGCCGCGGAGCGGAGCGAAGGAGTTCTTGGGGCGGCTGGCGGAGCGGAGCGAAGGCCTATGGAGCTGTGGGGTGGTCAGCTTCAGGTCATGTAAGGTGCCTCTTACCCCAGGTTGGGAGGTAAAGCTCTGCAGATAAACTTTTGAACTCTGGGGCTGCCCTGACCAGGGACAGAGACTTTTGGGTCATTGGACTTTTGGGACTTTGGGTGATTTGGGGTTGCTGGACTCAAGAACCAAAGGGAAAGGGGCATGCCCCAATTTGCTTGGGGTGGGGTTTTTTTTGATCATGGGCTGTGTTCTGAATCCTGTTGGTCGTGTTTCCCCAACATAATGCCACATTGTTTCTCTCTGTTATTAAAAGGCTTTTTGCTACACTCAGACTATGTGCTTGCGAGAGGGGAAGTATTGCCTCTTGGAGGCGCCCAGCGGGGGTGGTATATATTTGTCCCAAGTCACTGTGTGGGGGCTCGAGCCGGTTTGCATTGTGTTATTGGAATGGATCCCCTAGATATTGAACCCGGCCCTTGTTGCTGCCAACTCTGATGGGCAGAAGGGTTACACCTGTATCTACCCACCCTCTGTATCCCCCTCACCCTCTCCCCCAGCCCCTGCACCCACACCCTGTATCCCCTGCACCCACCCCCTGTATCCCCCTCCCCCTCACCTCACCCCCCCACTCTCTGTATCCCCTGCACCCACCCCCTGTATCTACCCACCCCCTGTATCTCCCTATCCCACCCCTCTCCCCTGCCCCTTATATCCCCTTCCCCCACCCCCTATATCCCCTGCATCTCCCTTCCCCCACCCCCTGTATCCTCTGCACCCACCCCCTGTATCCCCCACCCCCACTCCTCTCCCCTGCCCCCACCCCTCTCACCTGCCCACTGTAGTCCCTACAGGGACAGGTATGTGTAGCTTGTGGTGTGGGCCTTGTTTAAGGAGGGTCTTAGACACCATTTGACTTTTCCTCTTTCCACTGTGTAATAACAGAGCTAATTTAGACTCCATTGAGAGGCTGGTTAGATCCTGCAGAGCTGAAATCACTGCTATCTAGGTTTTAAGTATCAGACCCACTTCGGGACAGTGTCAATTGCTGTGCACCAGCCGTGAGGCTCCCCCATAAACAGCTGACTTCACTGAGTGCTTGTGTTAAATAGGGGGCCCTGAAGACATCTTGGTGAGCCGCTGGCTGGTGGAGAGGTGGGGTGAGGGGCCAGCAGGGTGGCTGGTGGAAAGGGCCAGCGCAGAGCCCCACAGAGGCCTCTTGTTTTGTGGCCAGACATGCTTCTTCCCCAGTGAGCCCAGGGAATGAGTTAGCAGCCAGGCCTCGTGGCTGGCATCCCAAACTGTCAGGTTGATTGTCCTCAGATTGTCCCAGCTGAGCCTGCCAGGCCTGGATTGCTAGCACCGCACGGGCCGTGGCTGCACCCTGCCAACATCTACCTTGGAGCTGCATCCCCATCACCTACCTGGCCCGGAGACGCCGTGGACAAACCCCAGCACACTCTCCTTCTCCACATCCTCTATCCTGGGCAGCTTGGAGAACTCCATGGCTCTGGTGAGGCAGGGAACCAGCTCTGGGTTTTGGTGGCAGCTGAGTTTCCAAAGAGAAACACATTTAAACTAAACCAGTCGCTGGCTCTGCTGGTGCCCTGCAGACCTAGCCAGCTGCCCGCACGGGCACCAGGACCTATGTCCATATCAAGACTTGTTGCCACAAAACACAGCATGGGTGGTTTAGAACTCAAGTGCTTTTGGGCAAGAGGACAGAGCAGGCCCCATAATGCAGAGAGGAAGGCTGGGCAGCCAGGGCTTGAACAGGTTTTAAATCCCTGCTCCTGAGCTGGGCAACCCAGAGGCAAACAGCCAAGGATTCTGGGTACGTAGCGCCCAAAGGGATGGGCATCCCCCTAACATCAGTACTGCCAATCCAGACCGGCCGCCCCTTTGGCTGATTCAAACCCCTTGAGCAACGCGCTGAGCCCTCAACTCCTGTCCAGGAAGAAAGAATGGTCGGGAGGGGGCGGCTGAAAAAGTGCTCCATTTTAGTGGGACCCACTAGAGACAGACATGTGAGTGCCCCCTGCTGATTCAGCAGCAGATTACTGAATCCTGCTCAAGGCCAGACGGAACCATGACGATCATCCATTTCCAGGGCTCAGCTCTTCATTCTTGTTCTCCAGGGAATTCACCTCTCTGGGGAGGGAGGGGGAAATCTCACGGAGAGGGGATTCTCCAGCCCCAACTGCCAGAGCCGCCTAACAACGAGGAGACAGCACTTAGGTGACTATGCTGGCAAGTCTCTTTGCTCCAACCACTAGACCCCACTCCCCTCTTGGAGCTGGGGACAGAACCCAGGAGCCCTGACTCCCAGGATAGGAAAGGGGGGTGGCAATGGGGGCATGTCACTGAATGAAGTCAGTGTCTGGGGACTGTAAAGGAACCCAAAGGAAAGGCCGTTTCTGCCCGTGCATCCTGGGGAGCTCCCTGCTGCGGGTGCCTGAGTCACACTCTGTGACCAGGACTGGGAAATTGGGTGATGTTTACAGCTGTGCTAATGCAGACAGGGCCAGAGATGCTGGAACTAGGGGTGCTGGGGATGCTGCCGCACCCTCGGCTTGAAGTGGTTTCCATCATATACAGGGTTTACAGTTTGGTTCAATGGCTCTCAGCACCCACACTGTACATACTGCTCCAGCATGCCTGGACGAGGCTGATCAACCCTCAGGCTTCAGGGCACAATTACACCAGTCAGGTCAGGAAGGGGACACGGAGTATTGCACAACTGATCCGTGATGTGCTGTAGAACCAGGGTCACCTTCCCCTGAAGCACCAGCTGTGGCCCGCTGACAGGGGCACCAGTCTGGGGTTGACAGGCTAGCTGCCTGGTTTTCACAAACTTTGCCTGCCTTCACACTGCCCTGCATGGACCCCCTAGGTGTGAGGAGCTCAGTCTCCATGGCCCATCCGCTCCTTGGCCATCCAGGGCAGGACCAACAATGCCAAGGTGCTTCGGGACCCAAGGACACCCTGTTGCTGCACTGAGAACCCACCAGCTCATTTCACACAAGCCCCATTGCCCCCTGCACCATGCAGCAGGGGCGGGGGGGGGTGGCTCAGGGCACTTTGCTGGCAGCCCAGGCAGGCAGGGCCATGCCCTGAGCGGATTGTGTCGAACCTGCGCTGGGGCACACACACAGAGGGTGGGGAGAGCCTGGGCTAACAGAAGGGAGTGTTTTAGCCTCAGGTGTTTCACATCAATGGGCCCCGGTTCTGCTCTCATTGTCAGCGATGCACAGGCAGCCCCGGCTGGCAGGGACCTGTCATGGGCAGATGCAGCAAAGGGCATGTTTGGGTTTCATTCACCTGCTGCAGGGGAGGGAGGAACCAACCTCTGTGCCAGCCCCTCTGGGGAGCCCTGCCCTGCAGGGAGGGGAGCAGCAGCTGCCAAAACCCCTTGTAAAGCGCAAACCCTGCTAATTAGAGAATGTGCAGAGCTAGGAGCCAGCCCAGGCAGCCAGTGAGAAGGAGGCTGACCGGCTGTGCCGGAAATCTGCTAGCCAAGCTCTGGGGTGGCTCAGTGGGCTTGCACCGCCCCTGCTTCCCAATAGTGCAGCTTCAGGTCCCATGCCCTGATGCCAGCCTGAGCCGGTGGCATTATCCAGGACCCCAGAGACAGCGAACGAGCAGTCAGAGCACCTGGGTTCTACCCCGAAGAGGAAGAGCAGAGGTCAGGCAATCGGGATGCCCGGGCTCTATTCCTGGCTGGGTAAGGGCAGGTGTTTGAGCAGACTTAGGCCAGCCGCTCCCAGTCAAAGACCTATCACCCAGGGCAGGGCTGCAGATGAGTGCAGGGAGGGCGGGAAGTGACCGGCCCTTCCCCACGGGGCAGACAGAGGAGACTGGCCAAGTGCCATCACTGAGTGGGTGACTCCCAGGGTGGGGGAGGAGAGCCTGAAGTGCCCCTTGAATCCACAGCCTGCAGTGGGTTCAGAGGAAAGGACCCGGCATTCCAGGGCTGCTGCGGAGCCTCCAGCTCTGGGCCCGCCCTGGGCTAAATCAGCAGTGCCCATGGACACCAGTTAGCCAGGCTGGAAAACTCCAGGGTAATAAATGAGTCTCAGTGCTAGGGAGGGGGCAAACATGGGGCTCAGAGAGATGAAAAATGGGACCACAAAACTGTGCTTCAGGGAAACAACCTCTCTGGGTGGGAGGGGGAAATCTCCCTGAGAGGGGATTTTCTGTGTCCTCCTGCCAGAGTCTGAGTAACAGCAAGGGACTGGCATGTAAGTATGTTTGCAAGTCCTCTGTGCCCTAAATCATACTCCTCTCCCAGAGCTGGGGATAGAACCCAGGAGTCCTGACTCCCAGCGCCCCCGTCCCCAGCTCTAACCACTAGCCCCACTCCCCTCCCAGAGCTGGGGATAGAACCCAGGAATCTTGATGCCCATCCCTCTCTGCTCCAACTACTAGACACCACTCCCCTCCTCCCAGAGATAGAAGCCAGGAGTCTTGATTCCGACTCTCCTGCTCTTAAAGAGCCGGATAGTGAGTGGTGTTACGGCCGAGAGTTCTTCCTACCTGCTGTTCTCCAGCTCTGTCTGTCCCTCTGCCCCGTGGCTGGCAGGCTGTGAGCAGCCACCCGGACTGTGCCTTGCCTTCTCCTGGGTTTATACAGCAGGGAGGCAGAGAGGACAGGGCCAGGTCTGGCTCCCTCCTGCCTTGAAACCAGTTCCAGCCCGAGCAGGTTCTAGGGAGCTGGGGACGGGCGTGGAGGTCACTGGAAGGGGAGTCAGGAAACGGAGAACTCAGCTCCAGCAACAGTAAACAGTCCCCACAGCTCCATGTCCTGCTGCCCTCCCTGTCTGTCCCTGTCCAGCTGCTCCCTCCTGCCACCATCCCACTGAAGCTTACCCACCCACTGTCAGTCCCCTAAGCTCACCCCAGGCCGGGCAGCCTGAACAGCCCTCGACGTCCTTTCCCATCTGCAGCCTGCTCTGGGGTGGGACGCAGCATCTGTTAATACTTCTGGGGGCTCAAGGCACTTACACACCAGGCTGGCCCCAGGGCTCATTTTCCCGGTCGGGATTCCCCTGGGACTGTCCTTCCTCCACCATCCCCCAAGCAAGGGGCTCCCTTTGTGCCACTTCCTCCTAACTCCTGGCACACCCACGGCCCAGGATCACTGCTCTCCCTGAAATGTGTTCACCCCAGGACAGTCCCCAAAGGAATTCCTCAGTCCCAGGTCCGTTCATCCCAGGAGCCCCATCACTTGAGCTATTGACAACTAGGCTGGACCAAGCCCTGGAGCCTGGACCGCAGGGATCAATCTCGCATCAGACAAGAGGATGGGCTATGAGAACACTTTCTCTGGCCCTTTGTGAAATCCTCCTCTATGTGGGGATGCAGCTGCTTCTGGGGTGGAGTGCAACGGGGGCACAAAGGATGCTGCACAGAGGAGGGGAAGGGGCAGTGTCAGCAAGGAGACCAAGGCAAATTCTTCCTCTCCCAAAAACGGTCTTTAATGGTCTGCCAGGGCATCTATTGAGACAGGAACTCAGCTCTATGCATTTAGAGGCCAGGGTGATGGTGACTTGCGAAATGGCACCGACAGGCAGTAAAGTATTTCATAAACCTCCGGGGATAGATCCTCACAAACCCCCTGAGACGTGGGTTTGTTACACCCATTGTACAGCTGGGGAAACTGAGGCACGGGGCAAGGAAAAAACTCACACAAAGTCATGGAGCCAGAGGAAGCCAGGAGTCCTGACTACTATACCCCACAACTCAAAGCTGAGAGCAGAACCCAAGAGTCCTGGCTCCCAGCCCCCTGCTCTAACCACTAGCCTCCCACAGATGGGCATAGAATCCAGCAGCCCCGACTCACAGCTCTAACCACTCATCGCCCACACCACCGCCTGTGGATGGGGACTGAACTCAAGAGCCCTGGTTCCCCAGCTACCTGCTTTAACCACTAGATCCCCACTCCCCAGGGAACCTTCCCTTTGAAAGGGATAGAACCCAGGAGTCCTGGCTCCCAGCCCCCCTGCTGTAAGCGCTAGACACTTCCCTTGAATGGTGACGGAACCCAGGAGTCCTGGCTCCCAGCTCTGTATCCCCCCTCCTCCACCCAGCCATTCCCCCACAGTTGCTAGGCAGCCGCTCCACATGCCCGGCGCTGCCCCTCTCCTGGGTCCTCTAGAACACATGGGTGCAAACGGGTCTCGGGCTCGCAACCTGCGTCGCCCTCCCCCCGCCAGGCCTCTGGGCTGCTTGTTCCCAGGCACCAGGCAGGGCTGGTTTCGTGTCAGAACCTGCTGCCAGCCCGGTGTGTTACTCCAGCACGTACCAACATCTAGGGGTCCTCTTTGGCTGACCTGTCCGGACTGCTAGTCCGGGGGATCAAATTCTGATGGATGGGGACAATTCCCATCACAACGTGTTACCTCTCCTCATTCCCCATCCTCTACCTTTCCCCCTCTCCCTGTCCAGGGGTAGCACGTTGTGACAGATGGGGGCACTCCCATCACAATTTGGTACCCCTGTGAAATCTCTAGTTTCAAGCTGGACACAAGTAAAGAAAAGCATCCCGCAGCATTACACCGCAGGGCTATTGTATGTAAAACCTGGAAGGAAGGTCTTGCTCTTTCTTATTAGTCTCTTTCTGTTGTAGGCCCCAGAGTTTCTACAGTAAACACACCCTTCATGCGCACAAAACACTGGCGATGTGGAAAGCCCTGTAAACAGTGTTACCTCACCCACTTTGGGCCCAGGGACCCCGGCCAATTGGGGGTCTCTGGAAAGGGCCCTGACCTGCTCCACCTGCCCAGCGCTGCTGCCGGGGAGCGGGACAAGCCTCCCCGCCCTGACCCCATTTCCCCAGCAGGAGCGCCAGGCAGGGTAGGGGGACTGCAGGCGGAAGGCGTGGGAAGGGACCCCCATATGCTCTGGCTCAGGGCCCCACAAACCCTTAATCCGCCTCCGGTTCCTTGTACAGACTCCCCCTGCCCCATCACTGTTACACATATTGTACAAGTTTTCAACACAAACTTTGCACTTCTGCCCATAATCGTCTCCTCTGCAGGGATTGTCTGTGGAAACATTTGCTCAGTCTCCTGCAAAACCCCTAACTGGTCTGAACCCCAAAATGTGACAGAGGGGTGTGTCCAAAGCCCTGCCTCTCTCACAGAGTTTGGCACTTAAGTCCAGCCTGCAAGTAGCTTTGCCTAGCGATCCACAGATGGGAACCCCTCTACTGGAGTTTTTTTTTCCTGGGAGTTTCTTGTGGGAAAGAGCTAGGCAAATGCCTAACCCCAGGCAGAACTGCCAACATCTATTGATTTAAATCAAATCCTGACAAACCTAGTTATTAAAACCCCTTGAGCTCTGACAGGCTCAGTTATCAGGTGAGTAAACAGAAAGTTCCCGGCCAGGTGCTTTGCCTACAATGAAAACACCCTAATCAGCTTCAGAAATAAATACAGAGCCGGTCTAGTTAAACGCCACACCGTTTCTGGATGTTTCAGGGCCAGATGATCGGCCCTGCGCTCTGCACGGGTGCTGAGGCAGAACGTCACAATGTCTTAGGTGAGCTGAAAATATTTTTCTGGCTCCGATCAGACTGTGTCTTCACACCTTTGTGGCTACGGCAGTGGTGGACTCCTTAATATTGCCATCAGAATGGAAGAGAGGCGTAACAGACAATGCTGTGTTTGTTGTAACTTACATTCTCCTGGGAGCACCTACTTAGGAAAAGACAGTTTATATCAGGGGTGTTTAGTGGGCAGGTAGAGGCTGAGATCGAAGAGGAAACTTTACAGTTAGAGCACCAAAAATGTGGATCAATGGGTTAATTCTAATGGGACAAGAATGCCCCCACTTTGTATGGCTTATAGAGAGGATTCCTGTACAGCTAGACCAACACCCACTGAGTGCACAGCAAAATCTATCAGGACCCTCTCCGGCCTTCATTCTCCTGCTCATCAAAGATGCCTTGGCCTGCACCAGGCAGAGAGAAGGAGCGAGATGACTTTCAATTTTAACCTTACCGCATTTATTGACATTTTGTCAGGCCAAAATTGATACCTGTGAAATATTGTCAAGACTTTTCTAACAGGGCCACACTCCGGGAAGTTCAATCAAGCTTCAATCAAGCAGGTGGGTGCATGGCAAGGAAGCAAGCACGGTAGTGCATATTACATATTTTGCATATGCAAAACTTGTATTTGCATATTTTAGGCATATACAACCATTTTAGTTACTCTGGGAGAAGTAACAACAGAAGTATGGAGCTCTTGTACCCTAAGACTCAGAAATAAAAAGGCAAATTAAAAGAACCCAACGCGTATTTATTTATTTATTTTTTTAATTTCATGACTTTTGGGTGCATTGCTCAAGACTTTTTAATCCTTATGGTTAAGAACATAAGAATGGCTGTCCTGGGTCAGACCAAAGGTCCATCTAGCCCAGTATCCTGTCTTCTGACAATGGTCAATGCCAGGTGCCCCAGAGGGAATGAACAGAACAGGTAATCATCCAGTGATCCATCTCCAGCTGTAACCCATTCCCAGCTTCCAGCAAACAGAGGCTAGGGACATATATCTTGGGGTTGTATATGTATATGAAGTAAACATTGCACTAGAAATTTGAAGATTGTCATACAAGTATAGTGACCTCTGGTCCAGATTTTTTAAAGGTATTTGGGCAACTAGCTGGATTTTCAAAAGTATCTAAGTGCTTTCAACCTTTAAAAATCTAGCTTTTAATGCCTATTTGGGCAACAAGTTCTACAGAACAGTGGTAACATGGGAAAGAGCATGAAGGTACTGGATAGGGAGGCTAAATAACAGTTGATAAAGGCCATCCCTGTTGGCGGATTAAAGGAAATTGAAGACATTTTCACACCAACCCAGGAAATCAATCAGCCTCAAAGCCATATGATCCCAAAGAATAAACTTTTGAATATAAAAAAAGAAAAAAGTTGGAATTTAAAACTAATCTTGCATTAGAAACAGGCAACATAATGCCACAGCGAGATGCAACTGCCGAAGCTTCTCGCAACTTCATATTTTCAATAAATAGTTGCCCTTAAAAACCTGCACAATGGTGCGCGGTGACAGCCATCTGCACAATGCAAATGAAGGCAAATGATAATGTGCTAAGAGTAATAAAAATAACATTTTAAGAAGTAAATGACTTAAAAGGGTGAAACTCCATTGGAGTGGATGAGGAGGAAGAGGCCATCCAATCAGGCAACCAGATGGCACAGTGATACTCAGACCTCAGTGTTCAGGAACCAAATTAGCGCTCAGCATTATATACATATAATTCTCCCAGCAGAATGATTGACCAATTGGTTAATAACATAGCAAACGCATCCTGATTGGCTAATAACTTAGGCTGGTTAATAATTAAATCAGGCCGTGTTAAATCATGTGCTGCAAAGAGCCAGGGGGAGCAACATTAACGGGCCACTCCCCAGGCTCAGTCGCAGTTAAGACCAATTGTTTGGACCGCAATGAGGTTTTTCTGCACACCGATAAAGTCGCATCAGGGTAGCAGCCGTGTTAGTCTGTATTCGCAGAAAGTAAAGGAGGACTTGTGGCACCTTAGAGACTAACCAATTTATCTGAGCACAAGCTTTCGTGAGCGAGAGCTCACGCCACCGGATGCATTCAGTAAACTCGTAGG